TCACTACAGAAGTAGATTGCCCAATCTTCCTTCCGAGGAGTGGCTGGTGGGTTTGAACCACCAGCCTTCTGATGAGCAGTCAAATGCCTTAGGCACTACACCACCAGAGCTCCTGAACTGCTGTATGGAATATGAAATTGCTCCGTAAACTTTCACCCAAATCACAATAATACATTTTTATTTTTTAAGATATAAATAGTAGTAAATGATAGGGAGAGAGAAGGTTTAGAAGACCAGAAATACAAGACTTTATTGTGTTCCAGATGAAGTCATAAGGGCTAGATCTGGAAGGTGACAGTGGGAAAGGAAAGGATCAATTGAAAGGCAGTGTGAAAGATATGGGAGTCCTTGGGTGGTATGAATGGTTGATGGTCTCAATTGCTAATAGAAAGGTTGTAGGTTCCAGTCCATCCAGAGATGCCTTGGAAGAAAGACCTAGCAATCTACTTCTGAAAAATTAGCCATTGAAAACTCTGTGGAGTACAGTTCTAGTCAGACAAACATGGGGTCACCATGAGTTGGAATCGGCTCATGGCAACTAGTGAAATATATATACATTTAAATCTACTTTTGTCCTGAATTAAAATCTAAAAAAAGTCACCTGTAGTCATTATCAAATCACTATTTAAAAGATCCTAAGGATCCTCGTGTTGATTGAGAGATTAAAAAAACTGTCATTATTGTGATCAAACATAGAAGAGGACATAAAAATTCTAATGTCTAATAAAATCATTTTTAAAGCAAACTTTGATTAAGCTTAACCAAGGATAGGGAAAAAAATAAGATTTTTGATATAAGAAAAAACTATTTTTAAAGAGACCATGATTGGTTGCAAGGTAATGTTATTTTTAAATTTCTAAAATAATTAACTGCTGAATTTAGCAAGGCACTAATAATGACTTATATGATTGACAGATCTATTTTCTCTACTTTTGCAAATCACTATAGCAAATCTATTACTAATCAAAAGTTTTTTTTTTTTCTTTTTTGCAAATGTACATAGTTAAACTATGAAGAATTATACCTGACACAGGGATATTATCTACTTCTTAGAATATATGACAATTTAGTTTCTAGTCTCATTTACTTGAGCATCTACTATATATTAAGTACTGTGTTCATGCAGGGTAGATAATGAAAAGTAAAACAGATGTGGTATGACCTCATAAACACTCATGATTTGGTAGAAAAGACAAACATTAAAAAAATATATACACAAATATATAATTAAAAACTGTGGTGAATGCTATGAAGGAAAATTATAGGATGCTATGATAGTTTAAGGTAGTTTCTAACCACAAGGTCAGCGGTTCCAACCCACCAGCTGCTCTGCAGGAGGAAGATGAGGGGCTCTACTTCTGTAAAGATATACAGCCTTGGAAATCTAAAGGGGGTTGCTGTGAGTTGGACTTGACTTGATGGCAGTGGGTTTATGAGAGCTTTAGTAATCTCTTTCCATTAAGATATAGTCATGAAAAATCTATGGAGTTGGTCTACTACTATGTAAGACCTGCGGTTGCCACAAGTTAGTATTGGTTATGAGTGCTGATAATAAGCAGGCTATAACCCAGGGCTATAAATCCTGGGTCTGAGAAAGTGTTTTTGAAGAAACATTCTTTGAGCTGAAATTTATGAGGAAGTAGAGAAGTGAAATAGGGCAAAAAATGAGAGGGAGAGAACTAGATGAAAAGATGAGCAGAGAGAAAGAATTGCATATAGTAAAATAAAAATCATCTCTAACCTGTTGGGAAATGGTGTCCCATGGTCCCTGCAAAAGCCGTGACTTGTAGCACTCATGGACTCCTTCCCATATGTCCTTCAGAGTTAGAGGTCTTCCATCTGTGAAAGTGTAATTTAAATTCTTTCAGTTAGTATTTCCATGAACACAATGGTACCTGGTGTCTATCTAGAAATACTAGAAGAAAGTCATGATTTAAAAAAAAAAAAAAAAATCTTTACTAGTACATAATACTGGGAGCTCTGGTGGCATAGTGCTTAAGGCATTTGACTGCTAACCAGAAGGCTGGCAGTTTAAACCCACCAGCCACTCCTCAGAAGGAAGACTGGGCAATATACTTCCATAGAGATACTGCCTCGGAAACCCAAGGAGGAGTCACTATGAGTTGGAATTGAATTGCGGCAGTGAATTTTTTATTTTTTTTTTAGCACATAATACTAGTTATATATCCAAAAGTGCTATATGAATTACTATTTTCTTTCTTGGGGAAATTTAAATATTCAACCTTCTTTTCTTTGTAACCATCTACCAGTTAAATCATCTGCTCATTCATTGCCTCCAGGAATTTGACAACATAATTAAAATCCAAATGTTTTAGAGAAAACTAATAGTTACAAGTATAGACAGAGGACCAGGTAGACAAACTCTCATATTCACAAGGGTGCACTATGGATAACAATGAAGTCTTAATACTTTCTCTAGTCCTTAAAATCGAAGAGACCACACTCATATTTCTTTCATTTTCTCAATTTATTGAGTATCTGCAATGTTCAAATCACTCTGTTGGGCACCATAGGGAATACAGAGAAGAAAACATACAATTTATCCTAATAAGACGCTTACCATCTATGAAGTAAATCATGACAAATATATCAACAACTAAAATACTACTGTTGCTGCTGTTGTTGTTAATAGCTGAGGTTGAGTTGGCCCTGTCACACAGTAACCCTCTATGCACAATGAGATTGAACAGCACTGATCCATATGGTCTCATTGACTAACTGTCAGATTTAGATGCCCTGGCCTTTCTTTCTAGTCTGGAAGCTCTGTTGAAGCCTGCACAGTCTCATAGCAACACACAAACCTCCAAAGACAGAACTTTTTTTGACTGTGTTTTGTGACTGTGTTTGAGGTACACTGGTCAGAAATTGAACCCAGGTCTCCTTTCTGAAAGGCAAGGATTTGGTGACTGCAAGAGGAAAATTGAAGTTCTGTGACAGTCAAGGTGAAGGAGAGAGTAACACCCAGTGTCTGTGGCAGGTGGAGAATACAGGATGGTTGTGAGTGGAGGGGAATGAGAGGGGTTGGCATGAACAGACTGGTAAAAGCTTTGTTGTTGTTAGGTGCTGTCACATTGGTTCTGACTCTTAGTGACCCTGTGTACAACAGAATGAAACACTGCCTGGTCCTATACCATCCTCCAATCCATGCTATGCTTGAACCTATCATTGCAGCTACTGTGTCAATCTACCTCATTGAGGGTATTCCCCTCTTTCACTGACCCTCTACTTTACAAAGTATGATATCCTTCTCCAGGGACTGGTCTCCTCCTGATATGACCAAAGTAGGTGAGACAAATTCTGGCCATTTTCTCTTCTAAGGAGCATTCAGGTTGTACTTTGTCCAGGAGAGATTTGTTCCTTTTTCTGGCAGTTCATGGTATATTCAGTAGTCTTCCCAAACACCACAATGCAAATGCATCAATTCTTTGGTCTTCCTTATTCACTGCCTAGCTTTCATATACATATGAGACTACTGAAAGTACTATGCCTTGGGTCAAGCATGCCTTTGTTTTCAAAGTGACATCTTTGCTCTCTAACACTTTGAAGAGGGTTTTTTGTTTGTTTGTTTGTTTGTCTGTTCTTGTTTTTTGGCAGCAGATCTGCCCAGTGCAATCCACCCTCTGATTTCTTGACTGCTGCTTCCATGGGTGTTGATTGTGGATGCTAATAAAATGAAATCGCTGACAACTTCAATCTTTTCTCCATTTAACATGTTGTTGCTCACTGGTCCAGTTGTGAGGATTTTTGTTTCTTTATGTTGAGGTGTAATCTATATTTCAGACTGTAGTCTTTGATCTCAGTCAGTAAGTGTTGCAAGTCATCTTCAATTTCAGCAAGCAAAATTGTGTCATCTGCCCATCACAGGTTGTTAATGAGTCTTCCTCCAATCCTGATGCCGTGTTCCTCTTCATATAGTCCAGCTTCTCTGATTATTTGCTCAGCATACAGGTTGAATAAGTATAGTGAAAGGATACAACCCTGATACACACCCTTCCTGATTTTAAAGCATGTAGCAGTCCCCTTGTTCTGTTCAAACAACAGCCTCTTGGTTTATGTACAGGTTCCTCACAAGCACAATTAAGTGTTCTGGAATTCCTACTCTCCACAAAATTATCCATAATTTGTTATGATCCACATAGTCAAATGTTTTTGCACAGTCAAAAAACACAGGTAAACATCTTTCTAGTATTTTTCTTTCAGCCAAGATCCATCTGATGTCAGCAATGATGTCCCTCATTCCATGCCCTCTTCTGAATCTGGCTTGAGTTTTTGGAAGTTCCTTGTCAATATATTGCTGCAACCATTCTGAATCATCCCCAGCAAAATTTTACTTGCATATAATATTAATGATATTGTTCGATAATTTCCACATTCTGTTGAATCACCTTTCTTTTTTTAAATTATTTAACTTATTTATTTATTGCGATTTGGGTGAAGATTTACAGAGCAAATTCACTTTCCATATAGCAG